CCAGATTCTTTAATTTTCAAAGCCTCCTCTAAAGCTATCTCGCAAAAAGGATTCATTGACATCTTCACATTCTGGGTTTCAACTCCACTCTACCAAAATAAAAATGAAAAATGACCCATTTTGTAAGATTCAAAGCATTGGCTTTCACTGTTTTTACCTTATCGGGTCTGACTCTGATCTTAACGGCGTAATCCACGACTCGCTTTACGGCTACCATTATCTTCATGGCTAGCAGTTCTTTCTCTTACGTCTTACAGTCGCTTCGGCCTTTGATATTGGAGCTTTAGTAATGAAGTTGAGACGTAGAGAACTAAAATAGCGTTCAATTTTGGGATGAGAGATGAATATGTTTGGTTTAAACATATGTAATTTTATTTACAGTTTATTACATTCCATATCCTCAAAGTATGATTCCCATTTTAATCTAGTCTCTAAACGTTTAAATATTCCAATTTCATCCCTAACATTTGACTATTATTTTAAATTAGTCCTCAAATATTGAACATTTTAATTTCATCCCCAAACTATGACATTCATTCTAAACTGATCCCTAAACTTTTTGAACATTCCAATTTCATCCCAAACTATATATATATACTTATCACATCTCTTGTTAATAAAATTGTTAGGAGAAGTTATATTGTTATATGTTAAAAAAATGAAATTTAGGTTGAACTATGGTTGATACTAATTACATATTTGGATAGATTTAGGGATAAAATTGGAAGATTCAAAAGTTTAGGGACCAATTTAGAAAGAGTGTCACAATTTAACGATGAAATTAAAATGTTCAAATGTTTAATGACTAATTTTGAATGAGAGTCATATTTTGAGGATGAAATTAAAATATTCAAAAGTTTAAAAACCAAATTAAAATAAAGGTTATGGTTAGATATATATGCCGTAATTAACTCTTTTATATAATATGGTTTTATCTTTTTGGTAAACTATAAGCTTTCTAAAATAAACTTAAAAGTAGATACGTGTTTACATTGAAATTTAAATTTTCTTGTTCGTTATTTATTTTGTTGTTGGTCTCCGTCTTAAATTTTTATTTGTTGATAAATTACACTTATTTTACTTTTTTTAATACAAAAGTAGAGATATTTTCTAAAACTTATCAACCTAATTGCACTTGTTTTGTTGATTGTCACCCCCAAAAATATTTTTAAATTCACAATTGTCGATAAATTACATTTATAATTTTAATATTTATATAAATTTCTTTTATCGTTGAAGTTTCAAAATTTATATATTGATCAATAGTGATATAGTTTTTCTTAAAAAAATAACTAATGTGGTCCTTTATCACAAAATTATTAGCTTCTGTTAAGTTAATAATGTGGTACGACAAAAATGAGTTAATATCCAATTTGACTCTTAAATTATAATTAAAATATTATTTTAGTCATTAACAATATTATTTTACTATAGTTTAGAAAACTCTAAAAAAATAAAAAAAATATTATATCCAATTTGAAAACTAAAACTTTATATATATATATATATATATATATATATATATATATATATATTATTAGCAATTATTGATGGATCAAATGAGATATTAGCAATTAATTTTAATGTGTGATATCATTTTATGAATAAAAACTAACAACATGTTTGATAGGTGACAGCATGCTTCTCCGTTTAAGCTAATCAATTTGCAGGAAAGAACAGTTGTTGATAAGTGATTGCAGGTTTCATTATCAGCATGCTTCTTCAATTACTTTATTATGAAAATGTCTGAGTCATGTCTATGCAGTAAGGTACTAAATTTGTAATAACTTAATTAAAGTAAAACCTTTTTGATAAATCAAAAGCCAAAATAAGAAGTAAAGCACGCAACCCATGCCATATTTTTTTTATTAATAAATGACTATGTACAATTGTAACTGAATAAATTTTAAAAGTTGATAAATTTGCATAATATTCAAATAATTATTAAAACAATCTAACAACGCATTAAAAATACTAAAAATTCAATAAATATTTCAAAATTTTAGAACAAAAATATTAAGAAATTGCCATGAAACTTAAAAAACATTATTTAGAACTATAAAAACCTATATTTTAAAAATAAAAAATACAAAAAAAAAAATCTCTGAAAAGTGGTTTCAAGTGATCTAGCATGGTCGAGTTGGTGTTTTTCTACTATGGAAGTTATCCATTTGGTGCTGGTGTAATGCTGCGTGCGTTTCTGCTGCCTGGCGGCAAATGCTCGATATGTTGTCCTTAGGGTGGTCGACGTGCAGACATTGGCTTCTATGCATGCATGTTTTGATTTTTAGCTTTCTTAGCCTTCTCTAAGGATGAACATTAGTCGGGTTTTTGACCTTGTTTGAACTTGAATCGAGTATAGTCCTCCTTAACCCATCATCGGATTTGACTTGAGTTTAGAAAAAATTATTTGATCTGAAACTTGACCCAAATTTCAAGATAAAAACTCACACCAAAATAATAATTTAAATACTAAACATGTAGTTTACCTTTTATTATCAATAAAGCTAATAATTGCGGAGCAAAAAGAAAAAAAAAGTCTAAAAGATAGTTGTATGAACTATGGACCTTGGGTTCTAGTAATTAACTACACATCCCCAAAGTTACAAAAGTTTAATTAAAGAATCATTTTTGTTCATATTTTTCGAAAGTATTTTGGTTACAAACGTTTCATTTTAGGACAAAAGAGCTCTATTTTAGAATGTTGACCGTTATCAACGAATGTGATTTTTTGCTCTAAAATAAAACGTTAGAGATCAAAAGACTCTAGAAAAATGATCAAAGTGATTATTTAGTCATACATAATAGATATTTTTTTATCATTATACCTTAAAAGAGCTGCTTGATCTTAGAATTTAATATTCTCATCAAGTTGGCTTTTTTTTAGAATTCACATTGTGAACAACATAATTTAGTTTGTTTCACATTTGGAACAATGGATTGTTGTGGGAAGCAAAAGTCAACTATAAACTTCCATTGTAAGTAGATTTTTTTAATGCTTAAAAACTCTTAATTTGGATGTAAGAAGACAAGCCGAGGATGATGTCCTTTTTAGACAATTGAAGTATTTAATTCATTTTTAGTACAAAAGAAGTATTTAATTTAGGCTGATTGAAGTAATTATAAATATTGAGATTTTAAGATAATTCACTAAAAATATTTTAAAGATAATTATTTTTAGAGCATAAGGCTCTTAACCTTCCAGCTCAGTTGGTAGAGCACAAGGCTCTTAACCTTGGGGTCGTGGGATCGAGTCCCACGGAGGGTATTTCATAATTCGGAGGTCTCCTACGGAAGCTGTTCTCAACCTGGTGTTGGGGGTAGCTTACTATCCTACCTCCCCCTTACCCCATTACACATGGGAATAAGGGTCAGCTAATATTATATTTAATTGGTCAAGTGGTTAATGATATTCATGTTGTCTCATTTTGTACGAGTTCAAATCTTGATATTTACCTCGAAAATGTAATATTTTTTCTATCTAATCAAAAAAATATAATTATTTGAATTAATTCAATTACGTTTTTTTATTTCAAATGACTTATTATTTTATCACTATAAAAAAAATTCTTATTTTGAAGATAAGAGAAAGAATCCTAACTTCTTAATATATTGAGATATGAATGTCAAATTGTAGGTATTATTATACTTCTTTCTAAATAATGATTTATTTAAAATGTTTTTATAGAAAATAAAAAACACTAAAAAACGTGTTCGATTAAAATGTTTCATAACGATTTATAGAAAATAAGAATAAAAATATGTGAAAATTAAAATAATAATAATATTTTTGTAAATTTGTAAAAGTTGAAAGGAATGTATTTTAACTTACTAAAAAGGTTTGGGTTCAAATTTATATAAAATATTTTAAATAATCTTTAAATATTAGTAGATTCTAAACCCAGTTTTGCATCTGTATGAGCGTAGAAAGTATTCAAATCTACTTGATGTGAACTTTTAAAAATGATAATATGATTGATTAGTTTTACCGGCTAAAATGAGTGTTGTTTTCTCTTGAGTTCTTGAATCTAAACAGTTGTAATTGTAAGATGTGTGCGTTGTCAATAACGAAGAAAGATTATGAAAATATAATATCTTATAATCACGTTAAATTATTAAAAAAAATTATAATATTAAACCTATTAAATGATTTTAATGATAAGAGAAAATATTGTTTTTCTTAGGATCTTCGGATTGAAAACCGATAACATGAACAAAGTCTCGAGGTTTAAATAATAGCAATAGGCTTGTACCATTTTGTGTAAGGGTAAATCATCTACCAGTGTTCCCCCTATTTTCCTTTACATATTCTCACACTAAGACCTCTCTACTACTGATAATAATATGATAGACAAACGCAAATAATCATTAATGTTTGAGTAAGTTTTCATTTTCTCCACTGAAGTTTCATTAAATTGATCACTAACGTTATCAATTTATAACAAATTAATCACTAGATGTTAGCAGCTGTTACTATAGTAAACGAAATATTGATGTGACATGTTAAACCAACTGACTTAGCACGTTTGACTATGCGAGACATCCTTTGATCGACTATTAGACTCTTCTTCCTCTTCTTTGAATAATATGGTGTGATCACAATATAATATTTGTTTAGAATCTTTCTTAACCATTGACAACACACACGTATCCTAAAGAGAATAATTCTCCCTTTAACCAATGAGATCACTTGATTAGTTCGAAAATTAAAACTTGTGTTATAATTCCATATCATTATTACTCTTAAAACTCTAACGTGAAGAGGTTTTCATTTTTTTTAAGGTGGGCACATGGATCACAAACCTTCGACCAAACTTGCACCCATAGTAATTGAGTTCATGTTAATCCAAAAGGCCATACAATTGGTGACAATGACAAATAAAGAAGAGAAGTTGACTTCCAAAAAAATAATAAAAAGAATAGAAAGGGTATATCCTTCAATAGATGCCATACACTCGGTAATGCTCACCTTTGTTTAAAAGGCCGCCATCTTTTTCAATTAATCCACCATTTCCTCTTTATCATTTCTTTCTTTCCTTCCATCCTTCACTGCCATACTATTTGAAGATAACACAGGTTAGTGATGAACCACGAGTTGACAAAATACATCTTCCCATCCGAAAGCTTTAAATTTTTATTTCTATTTTATGTTGATGATATGTTTTCGTTTATGTAAAATCTTATCTATGTTCTTGACTACTGTTATTGTGTTCCAAAACACTAAACTATAAACATCTTTGCCTATAATATTTCAATTCAAACGTGGTCAAGTTTTATAATGTCCGAAACTTAGGTAATAGATAAGTATTGAATTTATAAAATCGATTTTCATTCAATAAATTCACGGTTTTATCTCTTAAATATGAATTTAAATTTTAGATATTTTATAAATTTTTTGATCTCATCTGTGGATCGCATTGGAAAGTTTAAATTGATATATATTTTTATTTATATTTAAGTAAGTGTCCGAAACCAGCCATTTATGTCTTTATACATATATAAAGTCAACTAATTATACATAAATCTAGTCACTTTCAGCGTTGACCTAAGTAGTGATATATTTTTTATTCACTTCAAGTTCTCTTATGCGTTGAATTTTTTTTTCACGAGATACTATTCTCGCCAGATTAATTGCTCAGATGGGGTCATATCTACAGTTCCTATGTAGGTTGTCAGGTGCTTCGGGCGACGTCCCCGCGATGTGGTGAGATTGGGTAGGCCGCCATGCAGTCCCCATGGCCAGTTCCCCATCCGCTATCTCACTGTAAATATATTAAGCAACAACCAAAACAAATATATTAAGGAAATAGTCCAAAGAAAAGAAGAACTGAACAATAACAAGTAAATGCTACAAATCAAATGTTTATATTATATTCAGGCAAATTACAACAGAACAATGATTATTAGGATTAACAGGATGAGGTACGGGATCTATAAAAATGAAGTCAGACCTATTATGGACTGCATGGTGACCTTTGGGGACTGCATGGCGACCTACCCCGACGTCGCCCGGAGTACCTAGCGACCTATATGGAGACTGTAGATATCACCACATCTGAGTAATTAATCTGGCGAAAACAGTATCTCGTGAAAAAAAAATTCAACGCATTATCTCGTTGATTTTGCCCTGATAATTCATTTATTATCCATTAGTTAGGTTTAGTCACCCACACGTAACGAAATTATCATTCATATATATATATATATATATATATATATATATTATAGTTGAATTGTTTGACTAATATTCTTTTTACGTATTTGTTGAATGATTATACACATATTGATTAAAAAAACAAATTTAATGTAATAATTGTAACTTACTTATATAAACCAAGTAATATTTGGTTAATTAGATTATCGGACCAAATTAATTTAATAATTTTGATTTAGTGATATAATAATGCCAAATTTAATGTAATAATTGTAAGTTACTGATATAATAATGGCATTTTGCAAGGTGCAGGCATGGCTAGAGAACAGTTAGGAGTGCTGGGCGCACTGGATGCAGCCAAGACTCAATGGTATCATTTCACCGCCATAGTTATCGCAGGGATGGGATTTTTCACCGATGCTTACGATCTCTTTTGCATCTCCATCGTCACCAAGTTACTCGGTCGTATATATTACCATGTCGATGGTGCACCCAAGCCCGGAACCCTACCTCCGAATGTTGCGGCCGCTGTCAATGGTGTCGCTTTAGTTGGCACGTTAGTAGGACAACTGTTTTTCGGGTGGCTCGGCGACAAATTGGGCCGGAAAAAGGTCTATGGTATCACTTTGCTTCTCATGGTTGTTTGCTCTATTGCCTCTGGGTTGTCATTTGGAAGCAATGCAAAGGGTGTTATCTCTACCCTTTGTTTCTTCCGATTTTGGCTCGGTTTCGGCATCGGTGGCGACTACCCTCTTTCAGCTACGATTATGTCTGAATACGCCAACAAAAGGACCCGCGGAGCATTTATTGCAGCGGTCTTTGCGATGCAAGGGTTCGGGATTTTAGGTGGTGGTATTGTAGGTCTAATTGTGTCTGCTTCATTTGATCATGCATTCAAGGCACCTCCCTATTCTGTGAATGCGGCAGCCTCCACCGTACCGCAGGCTGACTATGTCTGGCGCATAATTTTGATGTTTGGAGCACTCCCAGCCGCTCTCACTTATTATTGGCGAATGAAGATGCCCGAAACGGCTCGGTTTACGGCCCTCGTCGCGAAGAACGCGAAGCAGGCTGCGGCGGACATGTCGAAAGTGTTGAATGTAGATCTTGAAGCAGAGGAAGATAAAGTTATAAAGATGTCGGGAAGTAAAGCGAATTCCTTTGGCTTGTTCTCCAAGGAATTTTTGAAACGCCACGGACTTCATTTGCTCGGAACTACAAGCACTTGGTTCCTATTAGACATAGCATTTTACAGCCAAAACCTATTCCAAAAGGACATCTTCAGTGCGATTGGATGGATTCCTTCGGCTGCAAGCATGAATGCAATCCATGAAGTGTACAAAATTGCAAGAGCTCAAACGTTGATCGCCCTATGCAGTACCGTTCCGGGGTATTGGTTAACGGTGGGATTGATTGATATCATCGGAAGATTCTCTATTCAATTGTTGGGATTCTTCTTCATGACAGTGTTCATGTTTGCTCTTGCAATCCCATACCACCATTGGACATTGGAACCCAATAGAATCGGCTTTGTGATAATGTATGCACTAACCTTCTTTTTTGCCAATTTTGGACCCAATACTACAACATTCGTTGTGCCCGCTGAGATCTTCCCGGCAAGATTACGGTCAACCTGCCATGGAATATCAGCTGCAGCAGGGAAAGCCGGTGCCATCGTCGGTGCATTTGGGTTCTTATACGCAGCTCAAAGCACCGATCCAGCCAAGACCGATGCGGGCTACCAGACAGGCATTGGTGTCCGATATTCACTTATCATGCTCGGGGTCATCAATTTCTTTGGAACGTTGTTCACCCTACTGGTGCCTGAACCCAAGGGCAAATCACTTGAGGAATTAACCGGTGAAAATGCAGATGAAAATGAGGTTCAAAATGCTACTTCAAGGATCTTTTCTATCTGATTTTCACTTACAAACTGTATTTTAGTAATTTCCAAACTTTTTCTTGTTGGTTTTACTGTTCAACTATATGGATTATGGTACCTGAGGTAGGTTTTTAAGCAGTAAGATAGTTTCAAAGGTTCGTTTAAAACCTTACATGTCATGCTTAAGCAGATTAGTTATGTGTCAACTCATAACATTGTTGATAACAAAATTATTGTTTAGAAAATTATTCATTTGGTTCAAAGATCCATCTGCACAGCTTGTAAATGGTCACTTCCATATTTATCCATGGTCGCTTGGATAGCCGAAATTTTGTTCTTGAGGTTCTTCTTGTCTTGGATAATGTGACCAACGACGTTTTTGTTCCAGATTTTAAGAGATTCAGTAAAGTTGTTGATAGCTTGTTGTATGTTACCCTTGAAATTCCAGTTATCTTGGACAAAATAATTAAACTGAGGTTGCTTTGTCCAACCTGCAAAAAAACGAAAACGTCTCGAAAGGACGTGGGTCGGATTACCAGAGGAACGAAGTAACATATGTCTATGATCAGATTTAATGCGGGGAAGGTGATAAACAGTCACAACCGGGGCGATCATGTTCCAGCAATCATTTGCCACCATTTTATCCGGTTGTTCAAAGACCCCACCTCGCATCCAGGTAAATTGAGGGCCTTTGAAGCCCAAATCCATAAGATTATGCTGGGTGAAGAAATTCTTGAAAGAGTTTACAGCCAGTTCCTCTGCGAGCTCCGCCAACCTTTTCGGAGCTAGATAGGATGGCATTGAAGTCTCCGAATAAGACCCAAGGGGTTCCACTAGCTGTTTGAATACCTCTTAAATCACTCCTCAACGCCTTGCGTTTTTGCTAAAGAAACGAAGATGGGGATCGAGATATTGATATCTGTAACTTTCGTGTGTATGAATTGACGGTGAATACTCAAAGCCATGCTTTGCTATGACCTTGTCAGGTTTGCATCCGCTGATTCTAGGTTCCAAGAGAGCCACCGTCTTCGGCTTGTGTTATTGTTTTGTTTCAAAGACACGTGACGTTGTGAACATGCAATTTGCCATGTTTCAAGTAGTGTCCCGTCCACGCTTAGTCCTATGTATTTTCGGATATCAAATATTATTTTATTCAAACTTTTAGATATTTAAAAATAATAATATAATTATTATTGTATTTTTTATTTTTTATTATTATTGTAGGACATAGTAATTATTGTTTATGAAGCTCTATGACATTTATTAAGAAAAATAATCATAAAATTGAATTATTTAATTAATACTAGTTCAAAATAAACTAAACAAACTAAAACATAAAACATTGCGGTATTATGGGACTGTTATTTAAATCTTTGATCTGAAATTTTCAATATTTTTGAAATTTGTTTGCACATTAAGAACACATTGGCAAAAGTTTGTTTTATATTATATAAATATAATAAATGACAAATTTAATTGCGTTGAATATGTTTTATAAAATATTAGAATGTATACAAAATCTATTTTTATTATTGATTTTCAATTTTTATCTAAGAAATATATATTTTTATTAATTTAGGGTGAATATAAGATAATAGATGTTCAAAAAACTTTTAACCATTTGATAATGAACATTCATACATCTTTATAAATGTTATATTTAAACTTAAAACTTTAAGAGATAACAATAATAAACTGTTTAATTACTTAATTCGTGCTCGCTATTTCGCTAATTAAATACCGAAAAATCATTTACTCATGATTAAAGAGGAGGATCCAAAAGTTAAGATTAATCAATAATTTTGTAAAAAGAAAAAAAAAATCTTATTTTGATGAATTACTATGTTTTTATCCTTTTCTTGGAAGGTGCCAAATGTTAGGGTGAAGAAAGAAAACGTCATGGAAAGCATGCAAATGTCTCCACCCCAATAAGGTTTCCCTGCATGGCTTCCACGTAATTATACTATCTCATGTTAAAAACAGATGCTCTTTTACCATTATATATAGAGAGGAAAATAGGCCAAAAAAAGGAGAGAAATCGAAGAGCAATGGAAAACGATGCATTGGCAACTGAAGCTCCTTATGCACCAGTCACTTATGGAAGGAGAGTGAGAAACGACTTGGAAGATACACTTCCCAAACCTTGTAAGCTTTATTGTCCCAAATTATTTTCCAGAATTTTGAATTTACAGTTTGAAAGTTGATTGTTGGAGCAATCAGATATGGCCAGAGCTTTGGCGGCACCGGATGTCGATCACCCTAATGGAACGACGAGCCACAACCATAATGGCATGACTGTTCTTCAACAGCACGTCGCTTTTTTCGACCAGGACCACAACGGGATCGTCTATCCTTGGGAGACTTACGCCGGTACAATTCTTTCTCAAATGTTATATTTATAGGTTTTGAATCTAGTTTGTTGGACTAATTAAAAGGATCTTCCAATTTCGATTCCGAGACAGGTTTTCGGGCTATCGGATTTAATCCCATCTCCTCTCTGACTATATCCGTTCTTATTAATGGAGCCATGAGCTATCCTACACTTCCGGTGGTTTTCATTGTTAACTATCTTTTATGTCTGTAGTTATTGTTGTACCACTTTTTGTGGCTCTTCATCCAAATAAGAAGGATGAACCATCTATAATGTTTTACGGTATAAAAATGGTGAATGTTTCGATTGCAGGGGTGGATACCTTCACCGTTCTTGCCGATATACGTTCACAACATACATAAAGCCAAGCACGGTAGCGACTCGGGCGTTTACGACACCGAAGGGAGGTAATTAAGCATTCACTTGGCTAACCGATGGAAAATTATTTGAATTAACCGAGGCATTGGAACATGTGTATTATAGGTACATTCCTGTGAACCTTGAAAACATGTTCAGCAAATACGCTCGAACAGTACCGGACAAATTCACACTGAGAGAACTATGGCAATGACGGAGGGGAATCGAATCACATACGACTTCTTCGGATGGTTTGTTACTTGGTAATCCCTTTTTGTAATTTGATTTTGAGATTGCTAGTCTAATGCCTCGAATGTAGGATTACGACCAAGTTGGAGTGGGCTATTCTATATGTCCTAGCACGGGACGAGGAAGGCATGCTGTCGAAAGAAGCGGTACGACGATGTTTCGACGGTAGCTTGTTCGAGTATTGCGCAAAGATGAAGGAGGGTGGGCATGGGAAAATGGGTTGAGTTCAATGTATAAGCTTTTGCAATCTATAGCTTAGTTTCCGATTAGTGTATCTGTTAGCTTTATTTGCAGCGCATAGATATGGCTTTTCAATTCTTTTAGCCTTTAGGTCCAGTTTCAGTACCTTCATCTGCTAATAAAGGTCGGGTTAGTTATTCTTAATATTTATAATATATATTAAATTAATGGATAATATTTATTTTAAAATTATATGAATTATATAATTTTTTGAAGTTATATTTTCGATAAAAATTTTAATTTTTTTATCTCTCACTACTTACATTATTATTATTTTTCCAATCTACAACAAAATTTAATAATCAATATGTTTTTAAAAATTAATATTTAGTTTTAAAACCAATAATTTATCTCATAATATTAGAGATGTTGACTTTATTTAAATGGGCTAGCGATTGCTAAGACCATAACATAATGATTATCATTTGGGTTAATTCTAACGTTTTGACCTTATTTTTTAAAATATTTGATTCTCGTCATTTTTAAAAATTATTTTAAAATATTTTTTTATATTTAATAAAATAATTTTTTTATTCTTCTTTTTAGAATATTTTTTTGGATAATCAATTTCATTACCCAAGAAAGCAGAATTCTGCTACAAAAAAAACCAACTCATTACAACACATCATCCATCTAATAGCAAAGCATTACCAAAGAGAACATATGCAAAACAAAGGCTAACAAGGAACAGAGAAAACAACATCACAATTATGAAATTATCACAGCTAACACAAAGGGCAATGTTCCTAGAGTCACTTCTGTTAATTGGCCAACCATCGAGTCGAATCTGGATATCAGTTTTAATGCTCAGCAGGATATCACTCATCGGCCTAAGCAATCCACCATACAGTCTGTTGTTCCTTTCTCTCCATATGACATACACAATACAGTCTGTTGTTCCTTTCTCTCCATATGACATACACATAGTTTGTCAAAGCAAGCTTAAACACTCGTGAGAAGGGACTTTCCTTTAAGGCAGTGAGCAGCCCATGAAAGCTCGCCTTCCCAGTGGCTTACTCTTCGGTTAACTCCACAGAGCAGAATGATGGCCTTCCAGAGGCTTTTAGCATAATCACATTCAAAGAAAATGTGATTTCTAGTCTCAGGCACCAAATCACAGAAGAGACATCGATCATTCTCTATTACTAGTCCCATTCGCATCAGTCTAACCCGGGTGGGAAGCCTATCCAAAATGGCCATCCACAGAATTATGCTATGCTTAGGGATGCGCCCGGAAAACCAAACCAGATGATGCCAAGCAACCTTTGGAGCCACGATGCGCAAGTCCTCCCATATCTGTCTAGTACTGAGGGCACAATCACGGTTAACAAAGAGACGATTAACCGAATGTCTCATCTTCAACAGCTTTTTGAAATTCCAGCTAGCATCAGTAGGAGGAACCATATGCCAAAAATCTGTATTTTTAATAACATAAGACCGAGTCCAAGCCACCCACAAGGAACCCTCATCAGTCAATAAGTTTTGAATCAACCTCACAGAACAAGCCCTATTCCATCCTTGTATATCAATAACACCAAGGCCCCCTTCATACTTTGGAAGACAGATATGTCTCCAGCTCACCCTAGCTCCCTTAGCAGGAAGATCAGCACCCTTCCAGAAATACCGAGAGCATAACTGCTCAACTTTCTTGATTACCCCCGAGGAAGCATAACTTGCCTACACCAATAATTAGTTAGGCTGAACAAAACAGAACGCACTTACTGGAGCCTGCCAGCAAAACTCAAATGTTTATTTCCCCACAATGTCAACCTAGCTCTGATTTTATCAATGAGACTAAGGCAGTCTCTCTCCGTGAGCTTCTTAGTCACCAAAGGAATTCCTAAGTAACGAGCAGGGAGTTTGCCTAATTTAAAACCAGTGCCCTCACTGATGGCAGTGCATTGAGCAACAGTTAACCCCGCTACAAAAATCTCACTTTTGTTAATATTGAGCTTCAACCCAGACATGAGATAGAAAACTTCCAGAACAGCTTTGACACCACTAATAGAGTCAACAGAGGGCTTGCAAAAGATGAGGAGATCATCCGCAAAGCAAAGATGGGTTAAACCAATCCTTTTACACTTGGGATGATAATTGAAAATCCCCTTAAGAGCAGCCAGGTTTGATAGATTTGATAATACATTCATGGCAAGCACAAAGAGATAAGGTGAAAGGGGGTCACCTTGCCTAACACCACGAGCCCCCCTAAAATAACCAACTAAACTGCCATTTATTACAATCGAATAGCTAGGCTTGGTAAAACAAGGAGAAATCCAGCTAATAAATCTAGCAGGAAGGCCAAGAGCAGTGAGAACAACAACTAAGAAATCACAATTGAGAGAATCAAACGCTTTCTGTAGATCCAACTTTAAGGCACATCTAGGGGAAATGTTCTTTCTACTATAGCCCCTAACAACCTCTTGGGCAAGGAGGGTATTATCCACTATACTCCTACCTTTAACAAAAACAGTTTGATTCTTTAAAACCATGCTAGGGAACACAGTAGACAATCGTCTCACTAAAATCCTTGTAATGGTCTTATATATCACTGTGCAGCATGATATAGGCTTGAAGTCCTTGACAAGGCTAGGATTTGGCACTTTAGGAACCAAGACTACAGCAGTGGCATTAAAGGCATGGAGAATAAAAGATATGTCAAAGCAATACCTGATAGCAGCAACAAAATCCACACCCACTATGGACCAAGCTTTCTTGAAGAAGAATGGATTAAAGCCATCGGGCTCAGGAGATTTATCATTGCCTTGCCCCCAAATGGCTTCTTTAATTTCAGCATCAGAAACATCTCTGCATAGTTTGCCGTCAGCGCCTGTAGGGAGTAAGAAATTAAGAAGACCCCTAATAGTAGAAACAGTGCTGCCCAGGACATTATCATCTACCAAACCCAGCTGATTCTGGAAAAATTTAATCACCTCAGCCGAAATACCATCAAAAGAGTCCAATCTATTCCCCGCTTGGTCATAGAGAACTCTGATTGTATTACTCTTTGTTCTGCTAGCCACTACTGAGTGGAAGAATTTCGTCCCTTGGTCACCCTCTTTGATCCAATTGGCTTTAGCTTTTTGTTTGTAAAATAGTAACTCAGCCTCTTCAAGATTTTTTAGCTCCCTTTCTACTTGAAGTTCATTCTCAATGCTGCTGCCAGCAGAACCCCATTGAAGATTAGCAAGCTGAATACTAAGGAGTTCCTCTCGCTTCTGTTTCACCTTATTTGAAATGTCATTGAAATGAGCTTTATTTAAAGCCTTGAGAGAGCACTTCAACCTCTTCAATTTTTGGAACAAAACCTGAGATGGATTTCCAACCATTGGTTGCTGCCAAGAATCTCTTACAATGTTTAAAAACCCCGGGTGCAAGGCCCAAAAGTTGAAAAATTTGAACGGCTTTGGCCTTGCAGTAGGGGCTGCCTTGTGGAGCCACACAAAGGCAGGGCAGTGATCCGAGTCCCCAGGGGCCTGAAACTCCACTGCAGAATCTGGGAAAACATCGATCCACCTTGGGTTTATCATGACACGATCAAGCTTACGAGCCAAATAAGTATCCTGTTGTTTATTTAACCAAGTGAAGCAAGGACCATTGTAGGGGTGATCAAAAATCCCCAAATTATCCACACAATTCCGAAATTCAGAACTGTCAACCAAAGTTGAGGAACTAACATAAACCGAGCTTTCCTCGACATTCAAGATGATGTTGAAGTCACCACCTATAAGCCATGGAAGATCTCCCACAGTACATTCCAGAGAGTTGAGTTGACTCTATAACTGCCTCCTACAATTTCCCTCATTCAAACCATAAACAACAGTAAGAATAAAAGTGTTACCCCCAATAGCACATCTAACAGAAATACATTGGTCAAAAACAGAAACAACTGAGCAATCCATACATCTACGCCAGAGAACCCAAATTCGACCGTTGGCAGCATGATTATAATTACAGCAAGCTTCCCAATCACTAAAATTTCGACTTAGAATAGCCAAAGAGCTATCAACCTTAACTCGAGTTTCCAATAAGCAGAGAACATCAATTTGGCAATTTGCAGCCCACCTCATCACTTTACCTTGCTTGCGAGGATTATTAAATCCTCGAACATTCCAGTAACAAATTAACATAAGGGATTTAGGGAAGAAGAGGCACAACCTCTATCCTCCATCTTCATAACTTTGTCAACCTGCTCCTTCTTCTTTAATTTCAAATCCTGGACCAGTTTAGCCACCCCAAGCGAAGCTGCTCGTTGCTTCTTACCCGAGTCCTCAACCGGCTGCAAATGTTCAGGATCAATGGAGGCCAGAATCTCAAATTTATTCTTGGAGCTCCCCATAGTAGTTTTACCTGGCCTACCTCTTCCACGCTTCAATGGGGGGTTGCTACCAGGAGGACCCTCCTTAGTGATCTGTTTAGTGCCATCTTTAGCTCCATCCCCTGAAGCAGCTTGAGCCTTGTCTAAACAAGTATCAACAACACCTTCAGAATTACATAGATCAATCTGCTCAGTTTGAATGCTACCTCCAGGAGCTACTATAGGATTTTGCTTCTCAGCCTCAACTATACTATTATTTACAGTATCATCTAGTTTAGCTTCATGTACTGTTTGCTTTACCCTCTATTCTTGCTTCTTCCCCAGAGGGCAGAATTTAACAGAATGCCCAAATCTCTTACACTCCACACAAGATGAAGGCCTCCAAGGAACAACAACCTTAATTCGGGCAATAGAATCATCGCAAAGCAACACATCTATGTAATCTGGAATCTTAGAATTTACAGAAATTTATATACAAACCGTAGCAAACTCCAATCTCTCCCTAGAAGCTGTAATAGAGTCCATGTGAAGAGGCTTACCAATTGCACTTGCAATGTAGCTTAAACCGCTATTTGAAAATAATTCCAAGGGGACATTGAAGAGCTGAAACCAAATTGGCATGCGATCCAAATCGAAGTGCAGCTCCTTCAAATTCGGCTCCCACTTCCTAAGGAAAAGAGGCTTGTGTTGAATATGCCAGGGACCATTCTCTAAAACCCAATCCCTGGCATACGAACCAGTAAAAGAAAAAACAAAAAGATTGGATCCCGCAATGCTCACCTTCACCGGAGCAGCCTTGTTCCACATCAGGTCAATCGTCTTCTGCAATAATCCAAAATTGGGGGTTGAGCCTATAAATTGCCCAACAAGAGCATACCTCCATTCTAAGATCCCCTCCTCGAATATGTGCTTCGGAGGTTTCACAATAAGCGAACCCTCAATCTCCATTGGAGGGAAGAAATCTAATTCTTGCTCATTGCCCGCCGCAAACAATTTTCTCCAATCAGTTGCAGATCCCGTAGACATCGCCAACAAAACCCCCAAATCACAAGCAGAATAAAAAGAAATTCAATCTAGTCGAGAAATCAGAAGGAAAGGATGATTCGTCTTCAATCGCTGTTAGTCTTCATTTTAAGTTAAATTATTTTAATATTTGATAAAATAATTATTTTAATTTTTATTCCTCTTTTTAGTACATTTTAGTCTTCATTTTAAATTAAAAAAGTTTTTATTAATCGTGTATTACTAATACTTTTTCGCTTTGGGTCTAAATCTTTAAAAAAAATAAGGATTAAAATGTTTTTTTTTTTATAAACGTTGAGGATTAAAATAATTATTTTTATCATATTTTTTATTTACATCATTTGGGTTAAGTCCTTAAATTAATAAAAAATAAAGGTAAAATTTTATTAGATAAAATTTTTATTAGATTCTATTTTGTCATACATCGAAATGTAGTGCTAACAACATACATTAATATGAATCATTAATATTTTTTATAGGTAAAATTCATAATTGATTATTAAATTTAATAATATCTTATTATGTTGTTAGCACTACATTTCGATGTATGACAAAATAGAATCCAATTCAGCAATATATCCTTCCACCTGTTTCAACCTCGCAAAAAGTTAGCACAATAGTCGCTTATAATTTTACGTCTACAATTATATTACTTCAAAACAAAATTTGACAATTTTCAAACATTCAAAAAAGTCTGAACAAAAATACATAAGCAAACTTGAAACCTTAGTCTTCCGCTAATGCTATTATCATTCTATATTTTTTTTTAAATTTTTTTTGAAAGAACGAAAAACACACTTGACTAAAAGGATTAAAAATAGAAATAACAAATTTAAAAAGTAATTACCCTGCCATAAGCATTAATATCGAGGCCATTAGCGAGCAGATCGGCTACATCTTTCTTCAAAAACTTGAGCGTCGCAGTCTTCTTCCTCCTTATCACCTCGATCCGACTCTTTATCAGTTTTATCAATGATTTGCTGCAAATGAAAAAAGAAAGAGAAAAAAATTCTCATCAATTTGATTTTCCAAAAATTAAGAAAAGAAACAGCCCATTAATTCGAAGAGATTATAAAAACCATTTGGAGGCAAAACCACGGCCAAAGATCCCGTCCAGCATCTCCGATCACTTATTCAACTGCAAACTAAAAAACGAGACCGTAAACTCATAATGCAAGTCAGTAAAATGAGAGATCTGCCATTAAAGAAGACGAGAAAAGGTCCTTTGCTTAAAGCTTTCTTCAGTGCCGTTTCTCAGACAATTTTCCTTTTTTTTATTTTTAAGAAACACTTGTTTACAGCTTTTTTTTTCCAGCAGGGCAGGGAGCTAAAAACATGGCGCCTCGTCGATGTTACGATCATACCCTTTCTGTTTCCATTTAATGACTGCGACTCTCAACCGGTCGATCATTTAAACGTTGGGAGGGTATTCTAGGGAACTAAACAAGTATTTGATTCGGTGCGGATAAAGGGGTACGTTGGATAGATATTGATCGTTAGATGAGGGCAGTGGGTGCCGAAAGATGGGTTGAGGGAATATTGATTAGTGGGAATCTAATGAGCTGGATCGCATAATTAAGGTTAATTAATGACGATGAATATTTTTAGTAATTTATGCAACGTTTAAAAAACGATTAATATAAGTTGTGATTGGTTAAATAAGTAATCGATTAAAATTTAGATCGGTTATATTATATTATTTAACTAGAAATATTATTAAGTACATTAACATATTAGGTAACGCTTATATAATGTAATAGGTAGCGTTTATATAATAAAATATGTATTTAACCGGAAATATTATCAAGTACAATAACATATTAGGTAGCGCTTATATAATGTAATAAGTAGCGCTTATATTGACCTATTTTATAAGTAAACTGGTATATTTGTACCGGTAACATTACAAATTTACCTATTACATTATAATTATCGGTTTCGATATTTTTTTGATCAATACTTTTTATAAATGTATCGATAATATATGCGTTCACCCTTTTGGGCATTCATTCTGGAAAAAAGTATCGACACAACATTAAAAAGTTTCGACACATTATGTAGACATATTCTCACATAAAATCGGTATAAATATATCGGTTATATTACAAAATTACCTATTACATCATAATTATGAGTTTCGATGTTTTTGGGATCGATACTTTTTAAAAATGTATCGATACTTTATGAGTGCACCCGTCTGGCATTCATTATGGACAAAATATATCGACACAAATTTAATAAGTTTCGATATTTTATATGATGACCTATTTTCTCATAAAACCGATATATTTATACTGGTTACATTGTAAATTTACATATTACATTATAATTATCGGTTTCGATTTTATTGTGATTGATACTTTTAATAATTGTATCGACACTTTATACGTGCACCCCGTTTGGGCATTCATTCTGGACAATAAGTATCAACACAAATTACACAAGAGTCGATATATTATGTTGACATGTTTTCTAATTAACCGGTATATTTATACCGGGTACATTGTTAATTTACCTATTACATTATAATTATTGGTTTCCAAGTTTTTTGGGTCGATACTTTTAGAAAATGTATCGACATATATTTAGGTAGTTATTGTACACACCTAAATATGTCACGCGAATTTAATGTTGTACCCACCCTTTAACTACCACTACCAATACCACATCCTATTGAAAGCATGACTGAAACATGATGAGTGAACCTTTACTTACATCTCCATTAACTCTGGGACCACTGAACTTGCATAACAAAATTTTTGCCATGGATCATACTGATGTAGACAATGTTAAGCCAACCGAGGAATGCCATGAAGTACATAATGTTGATGAATCTGACAGATTGGTTGGTCAGCTCTACTCTTCACGTGATCAAACTTGGTACTTTTACAAGGGATTCGCACGGGAATATGGGTTTAGTGCACGTAAGGGAACAACACGGCTTGACGTGGAATGGAATTTGAAGATACAAGAATTTTGTTGTACCAAAGAAGGGTTTCGAGTATCAAAAGACAATATTGTTGATCGTCAACGTGCTCATACGCCAGTCACAAGAATAGGATGCAAGGCTAAAGTCGTAGTTACAACAACAAATACAAACGATCACTGGGTTATAAGTAAGTCTTATCATAAACATAATAATGCATTGTGCACACCTGCTATGACACCATTTATGCGTTCTAATAGAGCTATAAGTAAGGCTGTTATCGATGAGATAACAATATTGAAAGAGGTCGGTGTTGGCACGTCACAAGTAATGAGCTATTTAACACAGCAGGTAGGGGGCTATCATAATGTTGGATTTACACATAAAGACCTCTACAATGCACTTCAAAGAGGTAAAGCAAAGGAAATCGTCGATGGGGATGTGAATGCGCTTATTGCTTACTTTGATTATAAGAAACATGATGATCTCGGGTTTTTTTTATGACATACTTGGTAGAAGAATCAGGGGCATTGCATAATCTTATTTGGTCGGATTCTACATCGAGATCAGATTACACATGCTTCGGTGATGTAATTGCGTTCGACACAACATACAAAGATAATTTGTATGGTCGACCAATTATGCCTATTGTCGGTGTCAATCATCACCATAACACAATTGTGTTTGCTACTGTCATAATCGCTGACGAGACGTTCCAATCTTTCGAGTGGGTGCTACAGAATTTTTTAGAAGCCATGATGAATAAATCACCTATTTCAGTTGTCACCGATAGGAATAGGGCAATGCAGAGGGCTATCAAATCTATTATCCCTTATGCTAAGCACATATTATGTTCTTGCCATCTTTCTCGCAATGCACAAGCTAACATTGGTGACCCAAAATTTACAAAAGCATTCTCAAAATGCATGGCTTCCTGGTGGATAACTGAGGAATTCGATATTCAATGGCGTTCGGTTGTTTCAGAATTCAACGTCGAAAAGCATCCATGGGTGATTGAGAAGGGAAATACTCAGCATGTATGGGCACAAGCATATCTAACTGGTCATTTCTTTGCCAATATTCGCTCAACATAAAGGTGCGAGTCTATGAATGCTTCACTAGCGATTGCACTGAAACACAATAAGACATATTTAGATGTTGTTCGTACAATTGAAGATGGAATTAATAGAATGCGTATGAACGAGTTGAAAGCTGATTACTTAAGTTCCCAGACGAAGTCCTTCCAGATCACAAAATTGGTCGAACTTGAAAACCATGCTGCTGAGATTTTTACCCGCGAATCTTTTTGTGCGTTCCAAGATGAACTTCAACGGGAGACATTGTACCGGATTGAGGAAGAGATTTAGTCCTTATCATATGAATGTCAACATTATATTTTGACAAAATACAACATTTGAAATTAGTTTTGATTCTCGTACGAAAACCCTAATTTACTCCTGCAAAAAAATCGAGACCATTGGACTTCCGTGTCACCATCAACTTCACATTTTGAAGCACTTGGATTACACATATTTTCCTGGGACTTTTGATTCAAAGTAGGTAGACTAAGGATGCGAAGGCTTCTGCACCCAGTTATGTTGACTTGAATGTGCCTCCAGAAGTGATGCAAATGGCAAGGTTCGATGTTCTACGTTCAACGTCAAGTAGGTTATGCTATATTGCATCAAAGACAGACACGTCTTTCAAAACTGCAAGAGATTAGATGAAAAGACTAATACAAGAATTTGAAAACTCGTTTGGTTTGAATGATTCAATCAACCAGAGCAGTGTAGTAAACAACGTTCGCGACCCTCAACGAAAACAACGCAAGCAAAAAGAAGTTTTGAAGAACAAGGTCGAGAAGAAAATTAGGTGATGTGGGTACTGCAACGGTGAGGGACATAACAAACTAACATGTCCTCAAGTCAAGATCAGTTTGAATACAAGCACACAGCCTAGATCAACTGATTTTTTCGAAGACGAAATAGAATGGCCATTCAGTCCCGCACATGATGACAACGATCTCCATATATCATAAGTATCAATATGACTCCTATTGTGTATAAGAAACATTTATAACAACCTATTGCTAGCTTTTCTCATCTCATACATAATTACATTCACATATAAAATTATAAATCGTATATAACTTATACAAAATTAACCATACATTAACAAAATTTCCTCTCTTAGTCTATTTTGATTGTGGCTTACGAGACCGTTTAATATTTCATCTGCATCATCACATAAATGCCAAACAATATGTAGACTATAGTCTCCCGCAATCATGGCCGGAGTCAGTTCTGTAACTGGGATTATCCAGATTACTCATGTTGACTGCATAGCCAATAAAACTATCCTTATATAAAATTAAGAACAGTTCTTCAACAACTGAATACAACTATTAAATGTAATATTCAATCATGAACTCCTTACGTTGGAGGGCTCTAAACCCTAAACCATCAAATGAAGCTTGCCTTACCAATTCCTAGCTTACCATTTAGACCCTGCAAGGGGTTTTATTGGCTATGTTGTCAACATGATTATGAGTTTCCTTTATCATTTCGCATTCAATAAGACTGTAAAGATTTGAATCAATTAAATTTGACTAAATATTTTAATCCAATTACCATTTCGAGAACAATTACTTGAATACATTGATACTTATTGGTCGCTTTCGATTTTCTTCAATATTGATACGCTAGGGCTCCATTTGAAGGTCATCATCTTCGCAAACAAAAATTGAACTTGCAACCTATAACCATTCACAAATAGCAAAATTTAAAACCTAACCCCTCTTTCTGAAGATTTTTTTTAAAAATTAGGGTTTCGACAACATACCTATCGAGCACAAGAAGTGAAAAAAGTGTTTGCCACATGAATAACTGATCGTAACTGTTATGAACGCTGGTATTTCTAATAGAGGGTTTATCGATTTAGGGTTTGTAGCGTTACATTATAAATAATGAATGAAGAAAAAACGTTTTGTTTATAAGTATCGACACAAATCTAAAACGTGTCGATAAATTATGTTCACCTATTTTCTCACAAAACCGATACATTTATACCGGTTACATTGTAAATTTACCTATTACATTATAATTATCGGTTTCGATGTTTTTGGGATCGATACTTTTTATAAATGTATCGACACTTTCTGAGTTCACCCTTTTGGGCATTCATTCTGGCAAAAAGTATCGACACATCATTTAAAAGTGTCGACAAATTATGTAGACCTATTCTGACATAAAATCGGTATATTTATACCGGTTATATTACAAAATTACCTATTACATTATAATTATGGGTTTCGATGTTTTAGGGATCGATATTGTTTAAAAATGTATCGACAGTTTATGAGTGCAACATTTTTGGATTTTCCTTGTGAACCAAAAGTATCGACACAAATCTAAAACGTGTCGATACATTATGTTCACCTATTTTCTAAAAAAACAGGTACATTTATACTGATACATTG